GTGAAAGCAGCACTGGGTACTGAGCCTCCCTGGCACACCCCATGGATAAGGGAGCCTGGCCATGACTCCCAGCAGGGTTACAGCTTACACGGGAGCACAGCCACTGGCTCAGCAGTGTGGGTGTGCTGGTGTGAGCAGAGAGCTGAAGTGACCACAGCTGCTGCCAAACAGCCACTCCTGGTTATGGAATGCTTCTGCTGAGCATACCTCCTGCCTACCCTGGGGTAGGAAAAGGGCTTATCCTTACCTCCAGTGCCCAGCCATAGCACAGTGTGCAGCTGTTTCATGGTGAAGCTCGGGCAGATACGAGGTCATACTCCTCCAAACAGTCTCGTGTCGCCCATACCCTCCTACAGTGGCAGCATCTTAGAAATCACTGGTTGCTTTTCCATCCCTTAAATTAACCCTGTGACTACAACTTACAGATGCACTTACAGCAAAGATCTAGCCAAAAATATAGCTACACACTCTGATACAGTAACAGGATTATTTAAAATAAAATGCATGTTCCTTGGGCTTCAAAAGCAGTGAAAAATCAAACCCACCTGTCTCCCCCACAGTGATGGATTTGTGGCTGTTAACCTGTCAAAAAACACTAACTCACCTTGTTCCAAGAAATCACAGAATCGTAGAATTTTAGGGGTTGGAATGGACCTTAGAGAACATCTAGTCCCAACCCACTGCCATGGGCAGGGACACCTCCCACCAGACCAGGTTGCTCAAGATCTCATCCAACCTGGCTTTGAACACTGCCAGGATTGGGGCAGCCACCACTTCCCTGGGCAACCTGTGCCTGTGTCTCACCACCCTCACAGTAAAAATTTTTTCCTAATATCTAACCTAAATTTCCACTCTCTCAATTTGTACCCATTGTCCTTTGTCCTGGCATTGCAGCTCCTAAAAGAGTCCCTCTGGCTTCCCTGTAGTCCCTTCAGATACTGGAAGGTGCTATGAGGTCTTCACACAAGTGTAGCTTTGCTAGATAATTAATTAAAGTTTGCAATAAGCATTAGCACAAAGCATTTTTATGTTTATTTAAATAAAAATTATAATTTATACAAGACTTTTTAAACAAACAAGATTTTCTTAAAAAACGTACAGGGCAAATAATTTCATTATTTCAATTATTCATACAGTATAAGTCTTTTGTCAAACAAAAGTTACACTGAGAATGAATTATTTACAATTTCAAAATATAGACTCAAACTTCAGACATAAAAATTTTAACATCCATTATATTTCAATGACTAGTAGAAATTAAACATCTGCCAAAATGTACAGAGTTCAATAAAAACTACCAACGTTTTTAAACAGGTTTAAGTAGCCAAAAAAAAAAAGGTACATCCTTTCATCTCTTCATGACTGGGTAAAATTCCTTTTCTCTCTGCAGAACGAGGGTAGGGTGTTGCTGCTGGCATCCTGTGTGATGTTGCTACTAATAAATAGCTTGTTTCATTCAATCTTGCCTCACAAAAGCTACAGTGCACAGAAAGGCATGATTTCATAATTTCAGCTTGGTTTGCATTTTCAATTTAAATGGTTAACAATAAAGAATTAAAGCAGTCAGTTTTCATCTCCCTTTTATTTTTTTTTAGCTTCAAAAGGGACTCAAACTAACCAATGAACTTCTAAAGAAGTTAAATCCAATTACGCGTGAATGATCCAGACATCCACAGACATCAACAGAATTGCAAAATAAACAGCAGGCAGACAGACAGAATGACAAGAACATCACTTTCTGCTATTTAGATGCACTTTACACTAAGTGTTCCAACTCAGCCTGTTACTGACCACATCAGGCTGTACTGCAAAACTAAGTAGGAAAATTGGAATTTAAGGTGAGAACTTCAGTGTCCTTATACAAGTATATATTTACTCACTGCCCATCCCCCCCTGCCCTCCAAACCTGGGAGGGTGTAGCAGGAGGAAGAGGATGAGTAAATACGTTAAGGTTACCTTCTGGTGTCTCTGAAGTCACATCCACCACGGGAGGAGTTATGCAGCAGGAACCCAGATAACCCAATGTAAAGTGAGGCTTGCAAAATATGTACACAGATGTTTGTCAATTATATTACAACTCTATTACAAAATAAACAAAAAGAAATCCAGTCTGTTTTCTACCTATTAGAATGAATCAATGTTGCATTGCAGTGTGCACTAGGTTTACTGCTTTAAGAATTGCTGACTTTGAAGTTGACACTGTTAAAGTGCAGATTCATGTCGAACGTCAACACATTAGATTTTATAAGACGTTTCTAATTCTTTTGTTCAGAAAATAAATTTTAAGAGCATATTGTACACATGAGGCATTTCAGTCTGGGAAAAGGATAATGATATCTTTTATCCCTTTTCAAAGCCTAGGTATGGTTAATTGTCCTGGCACCATCAGTATAGATCCTGTAGCTCCTCCAGGAACCAGAATCTAGGACAACCCTGTACACGAGGGTCAACCAGTGAAGGGTGGGAGGTGGAGGAGGTAATAAGTGCAAGTCAACTGAATTCCTACTGAAACTGCTGTTATGATCAGAGTGAAGGTATAAATTACACTTGAAAAATGATACAAAAATAAGAAAAAGAGCATGCTCTCTGTAAAAAATATAGTTTTCTGTTTCTTCAAAAACAAAAGGATAACCTTAAAACACATCCAAGGGATTTTTCCTTAAGACAAAATGAATGAATCTGATTAAGATTTCTATAACATTAAGCCATTTTAATGCCTATCTGTTAGCCACACTTACTATTCAAGGAAGATTCTAGAAAGGAAAGCCAAATTATAAAAGACAGCAATTAAAAAAAATAGATTAACTGATTTTAAAGTAAGTTTGATGAGCAAAATTTAAGGTCAAGAATTTTTACTTAAACAACATAACCTGAAAGTGTAAAGTGATGAAACCACAAACTGTCCAGCTACACCCATTTTAGATGGTGACAACATGGATTTCCCACCAGCTTCACTTATGTTTTAAGTTTCCAGGCCCTGAGTTACAGTATACCTAAGGTGCTGTTAGGAGTGCACCCCTTTTTCAAGTCACAGACATGTTCCAGTGATACTCTAAAGGGAGAACTCGAAAATTGCTTCTGAGCCATTATGGTGGATTCTCCC